AAATCCATGTTGTTCAACAATTATAATATTTTTTAGAGATTCAAACAGAGCATCGTAAATTATGGTACTAGTACTTTGCTGAATATGGATAGTTTACTAATACCTCTATAATTCTTCACACAGTTTCTATCTCCGATGTTCTTATAGATTGGAATGAGATATGCTTTTTTCCACATTGATGGAAATTCCCCTAATGTGAGAGACATATTAAATAAAATTTGCTTTTATGCAATAAGAAACTATAAGAACCTTTTTTATATTTTAATTTAGTTTTTATTTAAGTATATTTTTACTTATGAATGAATTGGACGAAAATTAATTATATATTATGATGTTAGATACTATGAGTATTACCTCATTATTAATAATTATTTATGCATAAATACAAAGGAACAGGTCCTTGACAAATTATACAGGGTTCGAGAATCAATAAAGACAACAAATTCTAGGGATGATTTTGTATCGATTCCACATAAATTTTCTTATCCAAAATGCTTTCTAAGGGAGTTAGGGCTCTTTGAAGGTGTCCCTTTGACATTGTTTTTTTTTTAATTGCTCATATCGCTGTTTATCTAGTCAAAGTTACGTTATATGTTAACTTTTATACGGACAGCCTTTTGATGTAAAAATGATTTTTAATTGTAACCATAGGCGTTATATGAGGGTCCGCTGATATTTTTAGTAATATTTTTTTATCTTCGACTTTTTGGTACTTTTTGTTGAAAGATACTCAAGTTACATATACAAAAACATCCCCATCCTTAGATACTAATACCTACTTTTAATGTGTTTATATTTCTCAGCTGAAGGTTCAAGAGCTCTTGCCCATAAATTAAAAATGCTTAATTCTACCCATAATCCCAACACTTTTAATATTAAAATCGAAAACTTAAAGTATTTTAGACTAAAAAGGTACGGTTTTGAGTTGCTAGGATGTACCGTATGAGAGAAATATATATTTGAAATGTTTGTGTTTTTGCTGCACGATAAAATTACAAATTCTTTGCTAATACCTATTTAGTACAGTTGTTTTGGAAACTGATAACATAGCAACCGGTAACTACGCTGTGGTTTCAATTAAACTTTTTTCCCACAGTTCTCGGAAATTTGAGTTGATATTTGTTAAATACAAAAAATATAGTTGTTTAAAAATGTTTACTAAGAATATGCCGATATGCATTCAGTGTATGGCGACATGCAATGTAACTCTCAAGCAGCGGCATGTCGATATGCCGAAAAATTTTCGAATATAAAACATCCTCTTCATAGCAGTTTTACTGCTCTGCACTAGAGATTAAGAGAAGCTGGATTTGTGAGTCCTAAAAAACATGACACGGGAAGACATGCTGATACAAGTGAAGAACACGAGGAAGACATATTGCTGGAAGGAATGGGTGTTAGAAGGGTGGCTGCAATGTATTCGAACATTTCAAAAACTACTGTAGGGAACATTATGCACAAGGAACACATATCCTTTTCATTTTAGGCATTGAAAGAATCTGATTTTCCCGCTGGTGTTGAATTTTTTAACTGGTTGCTTATTTAAAAAAATTGAAATATAATTTTTTTTTTGTAATATTTTATTCTGAGATGACGGTACTTTCACCAAGGATGGAATTTTTAATATGCAAAATGCTCATCAGTATTCTTCTATTGTGACAACCCCCATGCCATAAAAGAGACGAAACATCAGGATAGATTTAGCATAAATGATTGAATAAGAGTTCTTGGAAATAGTTTACCTGTTTACCTAATCGCCTACATTTTTTAGAGAATATTTTACCATTTATTAGATATCATACATTTTGAGTATTCGACAGAACGTATGTCCGGATCACTTCAGGACAGCTGTTCGTGAATGTTAAATGCTACTTACGGACATCAGTGGATCGGAAGAGGGTGTCCAGTTGCTTGATCAGCAAGGTCTCCCTATTTAAATTTTTGCGATTTTTATGTCTGGGGATACTTGAACTTATTAGTCTATTTTCAACATTACAAACACATGATCAGCTTTGAGCACGAATTCAACACGCCTGTAATGAGTTTACGTACAGTACAATAGGGATAAGGATTCATTAGAGAAAGGAGTCACTTTATACTGAAAGTAAAGGCCGCCACGTAGAGCATCTTTTATAAATTAAAGTTAATTTGCAGCTGTTTTCCAAAGCCAACTACTAAATATTAGCAAAGAATTTGTAACTTTGTAATTATAGTGCAAAAAAAACCTTTCAAATATATTTCTCGCATACGGTACACCCTAGCCACTCAAGACAAGAGTACCTTTTTAATCTAGAATACTCTGAAGTTTTCGATTTTGATAATAAAAATACCAAAAAGTCGAAGATAAAAAAATATAATTAAAAATATCAGTTGACTCTCCCAAATGTAACGCCTATTGTGACAATTAAATGATCATTTTTATATCAAATGGCGGTCTATATAAGAGTTAACACATAACCTAACTTTGCTCCTTCTAGCTAAACAGCGATCTGAATAATTAAAAAAAAACAATGTCAAAAGGCCATCTTCAAAGAGCCCTACCTCCCTTAGGCAAGATTTTGGATAAGACGATCTATGTCAAATCCACAGACCACCTAGACTGGCCATATTTAATTCCAATGCACGGGTACCAGTGAATGCAAAATCCGGGGAAGTGGAGTGTGGAAGGCGATCTGATCGCGCGCATCTTTAAGCAGATCCGGATTAAGTAATATTTTTATTACATATTAAATATTATATTGCATCTTATAACAAATATTCAATTTTAAGTTTGTAATTCAGAAAATAGTATATTTTAGTGTCATATTAAATAAAACTACAAAATAATTTAAATATATTTATTATCCTCTAAATAATATTAATTTATTTAATATTTGTCTTTTCGTAGATTTTACCGAATTAAATAATTTGACTTCATGATTTATTCGTACATCGATATACTTTTCACATTCAGCCCTTACAAGTTCTATTAAATGATTACAATTGTTAGGCAAATTATCAAATTGATGTTCATGCAAATTTTCAAATATGTTCACATTCAGAAAGTTTTTTAATACATGATAAACAATTTTATTTTTCTGTAGCCTAGGTGTTCTGCTTTCATCATTATTTAAAAATTTTATTAATTTTTCTGTTTCTTAGCATATTACTACGACATCTCGAGATGGATACGTCAAACAACCACGATCTTTAATAAAAATTAATTGACTGTACGAATACTGAATCTGAAATTAGTTTTGTTTGCGATTTTTTTAATTGAAAAAAATATTTAATTAATTTTCAGCTATCTCGAAATGACGGGAATTGGTAAAATTTCATAAAAATTTAAGACTCACATAAAGTAAATAATTACTAAAAATATTTTACAGTAATTCATTCATTATTTTATAATAACAATATCACGTTAATCACTACACTATGTGGGCGAACAAAATTATAAAGCTAACCCTGGAAACTTGTGACGTTAACCGAAAAATGGCGTACATATTTACCTTTTATATATTCCTTTCTTTTACTTACATAAAGAAGGAAACTTTTCGCCTCTCTTCACCAACTCGATCACTTCTATTTATACAATGTTTTACAATACACTTGCCCATGATAAAACATCTAATTATCGAAATCACAGCGATGCGTACACGTCAAATCAGGCTCCAAAGTGTTTTCACCAAAGTCGCTCTATAAGCCAGTCTAGGTGGTCTGTGGTCAAATCGATATAAAATCATCCCTAGAATTTGTTGTCTTCGTTTGTCGGCTTAGTTTCTGGACACCGTGTATTTCATTAAAAAAAACACTTTGTTGGCATAAGTGATAAATAAGTACATCTAATGGTTTTATTTATCATAGAACACATTTCCAAAATTACAAAATTGTTTTCATTATTAAATTAAAATCTAAAATTAAATTATATTTATAAATATGTTTAAATGACTAGATACTGTGACACTTAAATTGTTGACTCATTGATGACTAGTATGCATGCATTATAGGGGACATTTTAAGTTAAGTGCGCTTTGTTGCTAATCTTATTGGAAATAAAAAAATGGCTTATCAAGGAAGTAGTAATTTTTCTGCTTACAAGGATTCTTCAGATCATTTTAAAAAATAAATGTTCCTAACCAGCTCAGGTACTTTCTTTAATCAATTGTGTTTTGTATCAAGGAACATTTCAGTTATTTATTTACTTTATAAATCTGTGAAGAAATAAAAAAATATTCCTTTATATAAAAGAAATAAGGCATATATAAAACTGGGTATTTTGCCACCTGAGACAAAAATCTGAAATTTGCGATCACGCATGAGAAAACGGTCATAATATTTAATGGGGTTCGGCTAAAATTTTGAAAAAGGAAAATAATATCGTTACAAGAAAATTAAAAGAAACCGCTATTATTTTGTTAAATGTGAAAGGTGTGTGTCAAATTATTGGGTGAACTTGAATCCTTGCTGGTTATAGATTCTAAAAGATGGAGTAAGTATTAAGAGAATAAACAAATATCACTAGCTATGAAAACAGACAAAAGCAAACAAATTTAAACAACAAAGTAACTAAAACGAAAAATTTAAAAAGTGCGGAAGACGATAACAGATATATTTTCGAAACGTTGGCAATTTTTTTAAAATGTGCAATATAAAGTCATATGCTTTTGTATTTTGTATTTTTTTCAGTGTTAGACAAATCAATTTTCATAAAAATATCCATCGACTAATCCTTTTGGCGCGAGGGTTAATTTCACTAATTTTTAAATGTTTTCACTGGTGGCAAAATACCCAAAAAATGAAGAAAAAAAATCGAAAACTTTGCCACAAATAAATAACCTCAGACAATATCTAAGACCGTCAGTATCCTCAAATCCTATAGAATTTAATACGCTTTATAAAGTTGTGTTCCATTTAAAAAAAATGCTACTTCTTTGATAATTTAACTGGTTTTTATGGCTCTGATAATAACATCCCGATTTAATCTAAAACGTCGTATAAAGAAGTAGTAGATGGTTGCGCTACAACTCCTCATAGTCCATACGCTGGAAATAATCCTGTTGTTTGTACTGCGAGTATTTACACTGAAAATTAAAAATCATATACAATGTATTTTGCCTAAAATTAAATATTTGTTCATTTGTTGCATATACCTCAATTTTTTCCGTTTAACTGGGTATTTTGAGAAATATGCGGTTTTTAATAGACTACAAATATATTTTATTTCGTCGTCGTTTTTTAAAGTAAAGTAAAGTAAATTAATCTATTACTTTTTCAAAATTTTAAAAAACGACGACGAAATAAAATATATTTGTAGTCTATTAAAAAACGCATATTTCTCAAAATACCCAGTTAAACACTTGAGTGTAGTTAGCCCCCAAAGTTAGCCCCCAAGACGGAACAGCCGGACAAGACGAAATAACCTAAGGAATAGTTGAAAGAGGTGTACTATAACGCATCTCTACCATCAAACCGACTTGTCCGGTCCGGGGGTGGAAATGGCGTGACATACAAAGTTAGCCCCTTATTTTGCTATAACTCTCATCGTACCCGGATAAGACGAAATTAGCTAAGGAATAGTTGAAAGAGGTGTACTATAACGCATAGTACGTAATAGTATTACTATTACTATTACTATTACTATTACTATTACTATTACTATTACTATTACTATTACTATTACTATTACTATTACTATTACTATTACTATTACTATTACTA